TTTATTATTTTTTTTAAATCGAAAGTTTGCGTCAACACCTACTTACCAAACTTTTAATTAATCGCTCGATCCAATCGAATTAATAACCAAATTTGTAATTGAATTATGCTGTATAACGAAACAGATTTAACAGTTGCCAATAACAATTTAAAAACGTAAAAGAAACTGGTAGTTTTAGGAATTATCCGAAAAAGAAACAGGGACTTTCTTGATGTTACCAAATTTGTGGGTGAAAATGTGGGCACGCACCAAAAACAGATTTAACATCTGTCGTTAAATGGAAGAAAGAATAAAATAAATAAATTACTTTCAATTTACGTAAGAATGGAAGCAATTTAATTAACGTTTAACGGACATTAAGATTTACAACAACAATAAAAAAAAATGTAAGTCACGGATAAATCTGTTGCAGACAACGTACGGTTATTCTAAACAGCTGTACAACAATAAAAAACAAAAACAATTAAGAGTTATTAGTTTGGAAATGTGTGTGTGTGTATACATATATATATATATATTTAACCTGAAAAGTTCATATGCGATTTGACAGCTGTCATAAATAGCAAAACGAAAAAGCGATTAACATTTGCATAAGTATGCGCTGGAAATTAATGTTTCTTACGTTTATTTGATTGAAGCAAATGTAGCGAGCGAATGGGAGACGAGACAAGATTGTATACATAAACATTTATTATAATAATAATAAAAAAATAACAACAGCAAGGAGGGAGAAAAGCTCAAACAAATTACACGGATCGTTTTGTTTCTCGAATTAATCGAAACCGACATTCCCTTGAGTTGCCTTATGCAGAGAGAAAGATCGATCGATCTCCAATTTGGGAAACGAACCGTGCGTCTCTCTGTGCGCTCCTTCCTTCGACGATGGTGTTTCTTTTCGTATTTTTTTCCCTCCTCCTTGCGCAAGGAATAATCGTTGAAAAGAGTGTCATTGCCATGGGAACGATTTCGCGATTTCGTTGCGCTCTTGATATACAAGCAACAACAACAAACAAAAAACGTATCATCGGTCAAGAAGGCGCGCATTCGTCTGCCGTAGGAAAGGAATCCAGGCATCCTTATCGGATGCCACTTTTGTTTTTGGGAGTTAGTTAATTGCTTCAAAAAGAAGATCAAAATCGAGTCCTCTCGTTCCCTTTATTTCTTTCGTTCGCGCGTGTAATTTCAGAGGAGGCGTCGTAAAAATTCCTCCTTTTGGACATCCAGATAAACATCTTGTCCGTTTTAATTCAAGAGATCTTTTGTTTTTGTTTTGTTTTGCTCGATTACTACCATCTCCGTGGATACGCCACCGGCCTCTCATCTCATCTCGCTTCGCTTTTATTATTTATTACCATCGCGACGAAATGTGCAAATGCGTAACCGTTGCTAGCTGTGTTATTTCAAACAATAACACGTGCATCCTTGATTTTGATTTAGGATGGTCATGGGGGAGAAAAAGGTAATCCGAATATTGATGCGATGCAACAGCGTGGGGATTAGAGCTGTTGGTCCAAAAAGGAATCTTCGAACACGGTGACAATAGAAAGACGATTCGGAGAGATGAGAATCTTCTCGTTTCGGTCCATTCTTCGCGCCAGACGCAATTAAACCCAGCACCACCAACAACAATAACAACAACGCACCACGAAAAAATCCAATTCCCCTTTTGAAACGAAACTCTTTTTCTTCTTTATCCCCATGACAACAATGACACTGATTCGACGTCTCCGGTTTAAATTAATTCCAATTCAGTCCTTCATCATCCTTTACACACACACACACACACCATTACCAGAAACTCGTTTCGATTTGACGTTTAATTTATATTGACTTTTATTGTTACATAAATTGATGTTACCTAGGTAACGAATAAAGTCCGTCGTTATGGTAAAGCAAATTCTTTCATTTGTTTGATGGTGGATGTGGAAATGTTTCATATTTTTCGTCTGCATCTATAAATAGCGTTGTTTTGATTGCGAAACACCTGCAAAGTTTGCTTAAACGTTTCGTTTCGTTAATGCTGACAATGAGAAAGGTAAATGTGATGTTTAGAGCCATGCTGCAGGTAATATTTAATACTTATTTCTTTTTCTTCATGATTTTCTCAAGAATTTTCAAAAGTTATACAAATTTTAACAAATTCAAAATTAAAATCTTCGTATTTTTTGAATATAAGAATATTACAGAGACTTTCATTCTATGTGTTACGGAACAAATGATTACTATTGTCGCGACATCTACGCTCGTAACGAAGAACCATCGGTATTCTGGTGGTCCACGACTATAAACTGGTTCCTCCCGCGCGACGTTCCATGACTCTTTCTTTATTTCTTCCTTCTTCTCGGAGCTGCGGTTTCTTTTGTGGTCACGTTCGTTTCTTCCTCCTCGTCCTCTTCGTTCACGGGCATCGGACCGTTCTTCATTCTTTTCTTTTTTTTTGGTCTGTTCGTGTTCTGTTTTACATTCGTCTTTTTTTTTTCTTTTTCTTCTCTCGTATCTCCGCCCTTCTTCCTCCTCTAGCAGCGTTCGCTCGCACACTCGATTTGGGACCGCAGCGGAGGCGTGATGGACACGTGGTGGGCATCAAGATGGGAAGCCGCTGGACCGTGTCGTGATCACGGAGAGCTCGACCAACCTTGCCGCAGGCCGACGCAACCTGTTGCACGCAACAGACGAACCGAACCGAAAGACCGACCGCCCGCCCGCCCGCACTCACTTCTTCGTACGATATTTCTCATTCTCGCTGCTCCCCACGGACCCATAATACCTCTATATACTCTAACCGCCGACTACATGCAAATTACATGCACACAACAACAACAAAAAAACAAGAAGGCGCAAAACAAGAGATGAAGCTGTTGCATCCATCGCCTCCGCGCCTAGGCGATCTCACGTCGTCCATGTCAACTCTCCTCTTTCCCCATTTACGTATTGCAATTATACTTATGCACTTTACTTATTCCTTCCTTTCCATAATTGTTGTTGTTCTGCTTTTCACATTGCGCAACGCGACATATGGCGCAAAAGCAGGTTACTCGAAAGCTTTCACCGCTGCCCAAATCCAGGAACAATAGTAGGCGTCGAGAAACAAAACTGCCACGTAGAAACAAGTTCATTCGTCGCCGCCCAAATTTAATACAATTGTAATACAAGTATTCGAGCCACTAAATTAAAGCAAGCAACAGATGTTAAATTATTTTTGGTGGATGCGCCGGGTCTATTATATCAATTTTTCTATTTCTATCATAATTGAAGTAAAATAAAAATTTGACGTTTCAATTGTTGAAATGTCATTAATATTCATTTGATCTTATATAAAAAAAAACAACTGCTAAAAACAATTCATCACATAGAAGATTCCAATATGTATTCATAATTAGTTTATCACATGCTTGTTCTGCAACATTTAACCGCAACTAACATTATATAAAACAGAATGTATCAATGAAATTGCCTCGCGGCATAGGAGATTACGAGACTCGCGCAATCGGAGCGCAAAGTGCGCCGAATTCCTTCATCGACCAAAACAAGATCAACAAAGATCAATCGCCATGTAACATCTCTCGATTGAATTTAAACTGCAGCCGCAAATAGCATCGGAATTAAATATAAACTAAAGTAAATGTCAATCCAATTAGATTGGCATCGTTCATGTTTGACGCGATTAATAGAATCGATTCATGTGCATCATCATGTCAACTCATAGTGAATTCCGAACAGTCACTTTTGACAATCATCAATTTCATTACATTTGGACAGTCCGAACACGTGCCTTCACCGTCACTTTTGACAGGTGTCAGCGGTGTTTTTGTTTTGTTGTTTGCTCGCGGAGATTCAAATATTTGCGTTTCGTGGAAGAGATGGGGCAGCAGTCTCAATGCCGTTTTGTGCGTTGGTTTTAAGTTGTGCTTGAGGCATGCGAGAGCGACATAGAAATGCGAGTGTACGGCCAATTAGGAGGGCGATAAGTCGCTGTGTAAATGTTGTTCTCCGCGCTCTGGATGCTTGCATGCAAGACACTCTGTTCTCAGCGCGCTGTTCATTTGTCAATGCCATCCATCTTTTTCTTTCTCTCTCTCTCTCTCTCTTAATTCGTCTTCCAAGAAATTGACGTAGATGTGATGATGTTAATGATCGACATGGGGGGGAAGAGAGGTGTGAATGAATGTAAGCCCTAGATTTTCTGCTGTAGTTGTCCGCCGTGGGTGCCCCCTCGCAGCAATTAACCTATTTGACACCTATATGACATTGACGTTTCTTGAGAGGGGTCACACCATCAACGCCCCAGCTGGCCAAAACCCCGATCTGACGGGGATGCCAACGACAACGATGACAGTTGTCATATGTCCATTCGGGCGGAAAAGCGAGCACAGAGTTGTTTCTTTAGTGATGGACACTACTTACGTGTTTGTATGTAGCTGGCCGCCGATGCCATATTCGATCGTACGTCCCGTTTGCGCCTCCGTACCATCTTGGAATCGGATGGCATCAAACGCTGGACACGATCATCAGCGTTACAGGATACTTTCAAATCCTTCTGCCCGTCTTCGTTCGCTCGCTCGCAGTCACCGGAATCTCAGGAACAAACAGCAACAAATCCTTCTTGCAAAAAACACTGTTTACACGATCTAAACGACCCTCGGTCATCTGCTATGGCGGACTGTCAAAGTCCCCGGGAACCATTGCGGAGCAGCAAACTCCATCTACCGACGACACTTTCAATCAATCAACTTCGAAGATTTTTACACAGATGACTTGAGAAGATCTGAGAAAATTCAAACAAATTCAATCAGATCAACGCAACTAACGGTGCTGCATCTATTTATCACCTCATTAATTGGTTTATATAAGCGTTTTAATTATTTAATAACGCACACAATAGAAGGCATTACTAAATTGTCTCAATGCGGACGCAACAATGAATTTGTTACTCTAGTTGCTATGGTTACTTTATATATCAATTGTTAATATTAGGGGTTGCTATGGTGACACGTCAGCGGTGTTGTAAATTATCAAACGTTTATTGGTTTTCTTGTCACAATCGTCTTTATTTAATATATTAAATCTACTTTTCGGCAGCGGGCTTGGCTGCGGCAGCAGCTGGCTTCTTGTTGACCTTCGATTTCTTTGACTTCCTCTTCTTGGTGCCCTGTTGGGCCTTGAGGACGGTCACGACGATCTTCTGCTCCTCGAGGAGGAAAGCCCTGACGATCTTTTCCTTGACGCACTTGTGGCACAAGACGCCACCGTACGTGCGCTGAACGGTCTTCAAACGCTTGGACATGCGGGTCCTCTCCAGAGGCCTGGACGGGGTGATACCCCTAAGCTTCTCCTTGCATTGTCCGCACTTTGGTACCTTCCTGTTCTTCTTCAGGTATTGGTAAACCAGTTTACCACCTGGGGTACGCACGCTGCACGAAACAACAGAAAGAAAAAAGAATTAATCATTTGTTTCAAAGACAACACAGATTACATAAATTTACTGGGTTTTTTGTCAGACAAAGATAACGAACGAAAGGGGTTTTTCGTCAAAGCGCCAACATTTAGTTGGGCTCAGTACTCTAGCCAAATAAATCATCATGTAAAATACAAAGTAAAGTAAACAACTATCATTCCAATAGATTCACATATTGCCAAAGTCACATGGATAGTTTACAAAGTTGCAAATTTACACCATTTTGAATGAAGCAAAAGATTTGTTGAGGAAAACTAATTATATAAGATTTACTAATAGTCAATTATTGAACTATACCAAAACCAGACTGTTGATCTTTGCACAAACAGTAAACATAGACTACTTGTTTTCTCAAACAGAAATAAGACTATTTTCACAGCAATTACAAAGATCGACAATCACAGCAGGCCATAGTACTTGAGCAAATAAAATTCTAAACAAAACCGCATCAAAGTAAAAACGAAAACATTGTGGCATAACCTCAAAATCCTTTGCACATCAAACAAAACAGTTCAAAGATTTTCGCCTCAAAATGAAATTTCGGCTACTCAATAAGTGAAAATGTGAAAGAAAATACGTGGAACGAAATACTCACATGTGCCTTTTGTTTGATTTTGTGTTGTACGACAATCGTCGCCTGAAAACTAACCGTTGCACCATTTTGAACCTACAAAAAAATCGAAATCAACGGAAATTATTAGTGAAATACTTGCGGGAAACGGGGCGGCGAACGTCGTGGAAACTATTGCCGCCACCGTGATTGGAAAAGCGTCGTGAAAATCGCCGATGTTCTCGGATTTTCCAAACTCTAGTCCATGTTTACACGTACCTGGTGTATTCGAAACGGAAGAGGAAAGAAAAGGAACACTGTCAAGCCGTATGTTTGCGACGATGCTGCCAACTTGACCGAAGTGGAGGAGGAGGCGCTTCGTTGCATCGAAACTTCTACAGCCAGAAAGTAAGCAATCTATATAACTAAATGTTATATCCATAGAGATTAAATTTAAATAGTTTAAATAACATTAATTAAACTCCGTTAATTATTTATAGTAATCGCGTACATGTTGATAATATGTAAATGTTGATTTGGTTGCCTATGCTCTCATGTATCTTTTAAAGAAAATGTGATCAAACGATGGCACAAGTAGTGGTGAAGTTGGTGTTGCATATGCAATTGCAATATTGTACAATATATTCCCTTTATTTCTTAATATTAAAATAACAACGATATAATCAATAAATATAATAAATCAGTTCTAAATAAATAATACTACGGTATGTGTGGTGACTATGACGTACACTTATTGCGAAATTTAAAGAAACGAACGAAGTCTTCGAGAGGAGAGAGGAGAGAAAACGAATCCGATGCCCGATTGAAAACAAAACTGAATCGACTAAGTGACTTAAGTACTCCCTCATCGGTTCGTGTTGATGATGACGAAAACGTAAAGAACAACTGCGGAATGTGATACACTTAAAACCTAGCCGTAGTACGTATGCATGTCGCAAGTAACGAAACGAAGCAAAAAGCAATTAACCTTACGCGTATATAAATTAAAAATTATCCGAAACGAGTGAGAGGTGAAGGGAAAGAAAGGAGAGAACTCGGCGTAGCTGCGTTGGTTTTTCCCGAAAAAGTACGGTTTCCGAATCACGTAAAAAAATCTAATCACTAATTTGTACGGTTCCTTTTGAAATCTTCTTTTTTTGATCCATTTCTTTTTTTCTCCAGTTGAAACAAATGGATGGATGATGGGTGGCCGGCCTAGTTCGATTTGTTGAAACCCAAGTAGAGACCAATCACGATCGCCACGACGAAGCACACGCCCACCGTGTACAGGACGATCTTTCGTTGGATCGCACGCATCAGCATCGAGTTCATCAGCCTCGATGATTGGCCCAAATCCTCTCCGGTCTCCCTTAGCTACAATAAACAAAGACCGTCGTAAACATAGAGATCATCCCGCATCGGCATTTGCTTACCCTGTTCCTCGACCTCTGGATCGTTTCGCGCTGCTCGTGCAGATTCTGCAACACCTGCGACCCAATCTCCTGCGTCTCCAGGACGATCCTGTAACCGTCGTCCAGTTTCCTGCCCGTCCGCTCCACTCGCTCCGAGTTATCCAGCAGTCGTTGCTTCTGATCGGATCCGATGCGAAAATCGTTGACGTCCTCCGCCGATTCGTATCCGACCTGCTTGAAGGATCTCGCCTTGATGTACTCCAAGGTCAGTCTCTTGAGTTCCGTCCTGTAGCATTCCAATTTGTTTCGACATCGCTGCTTCTTCGCCGCCTCGATTTCCCTCACCTCCAGGTCCATCTGCTCCAACTGTCACAATCCCGATAACATTAGCAAAACTCTCAACAACAACAACCAATTCCAATCCACTCACCAATTCCTGTGCTTCCTCCACATGCTTCTCTATATCGGAGATCAGCTGTCTCCTGTCTTCTGAAAACCCATTGCTATCAATACTACGGAACACACAAACACCACTGACATTCCTTACTTGTAGTCGATGCCCTCAGCAGACCGATTTGCGCCGTTATATCAGCAGTGAGCACTGCGTACTGCTGCTCGTAGTTCTCGAAGAGGGAACCCATTTTTCTTCTAGTCTTTTTTTTTTATCTAATTTAAATTTTTACATATATTTTGTTCTTTTGTGGAAACGAAACTTTTAAACGATTGAAACTGTATCACGGTGAGGACGGGCCGCGATTCCGCATGATTTCCAAATCCCAAAGCAAACATACACAGAAAAAAAACGCGATAATATATATGTATGTGTATATACATCAGCGGATCATAACCCCCCCCAAGCCAGGAACAAGCGATGACAGTTGGAGAAACGTCATGATTGAATTGTCAAGGGGTTTGAAATTCAACCGAGGGGTGTCGCGTGCATACGAACGTAGGCAACGTAAAATACAATATAATTGTTGAAAAGAAAAGTTTGAAATGTTTTCTCATTAATTAATGCAATAATTATTAATTAATTAATAGGCTTTCCAACGAATCTACTGTGAGATTTGTCGTTTTTACGGTTTTGATGTAATTGTTAACGTTGAAAGATAACAATGGTCTACGGTGCTACGATGCGACCCACGAAGTCTATCGTCCTAATTTCTTTACATGAATGTTGAAAACAATGATTTTCAATTCGTTTCGTGTAATAAGTTTTTATTCAATTTTCTCACATAATAATAATAATATTAATACCGGGACGAATATTATTATCATAATTCAGTTTCATTTCGTCCTCCTCACTTCTTCACTCACTCTACAATCTTCTTCCACTCGCCACTCGTGATTAATAATAAATTATTATGCGTAAAAACTAAGTACAATATTTATATTTATATATATAAGAGACAATCAAGTTTTACAGACAAACTCAAGAGCGTACAGTGAAATAAAGACAATTGTATGTTTGTATATATATATATATGCATATATAATTAGTATATGTACAAAGTGGACGTCGCATCCGGCGATGCGGCATTCTTTTGTCTTCGAAATGTTTTCTGCTTGATTAATTAATTATAAGATTCCCTTTCTTTCTTTCATCATCGTCTCATTTATTATTTGTATTATTTCTCATTCACTCAAAACTACAAGATTATAAATTGCATCACCATCATCATCATCATCATCTTCGCTCGACATTCTTTTGCATCAGGAAAAAAAATGAAGCTTCCCTAACAACAATAACAACAACAACAAAAAAAAAAACAATAAAATAATAAGAGTACGCACTGCAGATTCGTTTACGTTTTCCGTGGCTCGGGAAATTCGCACCATATTTCTCCACCATATCAAAATTGACAATCAATATTCTTATTTTATTATATAAATTTTAATTATTTTATTTTGTTTCCATTTGCTGATCACGCGGATTTTATTTACAAAATTCCCGGCGACGAAAATATATGAAAAAAACGAAAAAAACAGTGGTTGCAAGTAAAAATAATGAAAGGGAGGGTACAACGTAAATAGTGTTGTGTAATTGTAGTAAATGAAATAGGAAAGTCGAAGAGTGCGGTCAGGGGGATGGGGTGGGGGGTTGTGGCCGTCTCCCAATTATTAATCTATAATACAATATTTATAATTAAATCTACGAAATATATACGATCACGAACGGGGCAAACCGCACAGAAACAAACGAACAAACGAATAATAATTCAACTCGAAACAGAGAGATATAGAGATGGAAATGAAAAATAAAGGAAACAAACAGTGCAGCCCGTCCGTTTCATCATCATCATCATCTTCATCATTCATATAATAGCTTCAGCATCATCTTCTTCTTCAACATCAACTTAATTAGTGCATCGTGTGATATCTTCCTCTGTCCTGTGTTGCGTCATCTACTCTCGTCGAGTTTCGCCCATTTTACGCGAATTTCCCCTCTCCATCAATGAACGGCCTATGCCAACTTTTTGTACATATCCTCCAGCTGCGGGGTGAAGTACGACTTGATCTGTGGCCGCTTCGATTTCATCGTCGGCGTGAGGAGGCCGTTCTGCACGCTGAACGGATCCGGATGCAGGTACAAGTCTTTAATCTGAACGAAGAAACGAAAAAAAGATATTTTAATGAAAAAAAGCAAATAGAGATGATTGCGTTGTTTTTCTATATGTTACCTGTTCGAAGGATTTAAGGCCGCACTCTTTGCCCCAAGAGAGCATATCGTCCATAATCAGTTGTTTCACTTCCGAATGATTGCAGAGGACGCTGAGGGTGCCGGGGATTCCGTTCTCCTGTGCCCAGCACTTGATCACGTCCACATCGGGAACGACGATCGCCACGATGCACGACTGCAAGCAAAAACGAAAACAAAAACGTTAATATACATATAATAAAGATTTCGGTGATAATTACCTTAAGTGATTCGCCGTGCACGAAGACCTGCTGCACGTACTGAGACCTAATGTAGATGTTCTCGATCTTCTCGGGAACGATGTACTCGCCCTGGGACAGCTTGAAGATGTGCTTCTTGCGGTCGATGATCTTCAGACAGCCGTTCTGCAAAACCACAACAAATATATGATGATGATGAGTATGGTGCGTTCATTTCGGAGGTCTAGATTTGTGTATTTACCGGTAACCACATGCCGACGTCGCCGGTATGATGCCATCCGTTATCGTCGATGGTTTCCTCGGTTTTCTCCGGGTCCTTGAAGTATCCTTGGAAGACGTTGGTTCCCTTAACGCAGACCTCTCCTTGGCTCTTGTTCGCCCAATATTCCATCTCCGGAACGTCCACAAGCTTCACACAGCAGCAGGATACCGGTGGACCGACGTGACCGGGGATGTGATCTCCCTGCACGGTCAACGTGATCGGGGCGCAACATTCAGTTTGACCGTAACCCTCTACGATCTGCAAACAGCAACAATAACAAAATTACAATACAATAACAAAATGAGGGGGTATTTACTCACCATGCAGCCGAGTGCGCACCTGGTGAAGTTGAGCACGTTTTCGGCGAGGGGCGCGGATCCTACAAGCATGAGGCGCAGACGTCCGCCCATTCCCTCCTGCACTTTCCTGAAGACGAGCATATCCCAGAAACTGTTCCTCCTGAGTATGCCACGCTTCAGCTCGTTCTCCTTGGCACTCATGGCCATGTTGAAGAGCATCTTCTTGATGCAGCTCCTGCTCACCTCTGATTGAATCTTGTCGTAGATGCGGTTCAGCAGACGAGGTACGGCCGGAGAAATCGTTGGCTTCAGCGCCTTCATGTCGTCGGACAAGCGGCGAATATCGCCAGAATAAAAGCCGACGGCACCGCCCTCCATGTACATAGCGTTCTGTAAAATAAAGGAAACATTGAACAATCACATCCAAAAACGATAATAATTATAATAATTTTCAACACTCACCTCGCAGCATCTCTCGAGCATGTGAGCAAGTGGCAGGAACGAGATCATGACGTCGTCGCTCTTAAGCTTGTGATCGCCGAATTGCATCATCACCGCTGAGAAGGAGGCGACGACATTCTCGTGTGTCAGCATCACGCCCTTGGGGTTTCCGGTGGTGCCGCTCGTGTAGCAAATGGTGCAGAGATCAGAGGGTTTCGGCGGCTGTAGAGAAATGAAATAAAAATTAATGTCACATCGCAGCAACGGCAAGCATCAAGCAACTCACCATCTCCGGATGATTGTTCTTCGTTCCTAGGGTCTCAACGTCCGAGAACTTGACGATCTCGACGCCGCGGTTCTTGGCGCGCTGCTTGGTGGCCGGCCTCACCTCCTTGATGCAGATCAGCCTTCTCAGGCACTTGGGGGCGCGATCCAGAAGCAGGTTGCACTTTTGATCGTCCTCGCATATCACCACGTGCATATCGACTGAAGGAACAATACCACCGATTAGAATACAACAGTTGAATGATGAGCTTTGTACTAAATACCCTGTTTGATGATGAAGGCGCAGGCATCTGGTCCTAGTGTATCGTACAGAGGCACCAGCACCATGCTGTAGCAGTAGATTGCCTGCTCGGCGATGATCCACTCCGGACAGTTCTGAGCGTAGATTCCGACGAATGTTTCGGTGCCGGCCGGCAGACCCATCGCGACCATTCCAGAACCGACGTTCTTCGCCCTCAGCAGCGTCTCGTTATAGTGGATCCATTGGTAGGGTTTGTTGAAAGATTCGCGCCATCCCAAGCAACGACCATTATCTAAAAACGAGACAAATACACCGATCAATTCGATTCTTTCACAACATTCCCATATCTCCGTAATTCTCTCTACTCACTTGATATTTTGGCTCCTCGTCTGAAGCACTCGTACAGCGTCGTCGCATCATTGTACAGATGCTTCACGAATTTTCCATCTTTGCAGTCCTTTGAAAAACGCGATACTCTGATTTGTTCAGGACCCTGAAACAAAAACAAACGAATACAATATTAAATATATTCAATATACTAGTTTCAATCTACTAATTTACTACTTTTACTTAGAACTAGTTCATTTGCTTCAAATTGGAATGATCTATCAACCATCGCCGCCGTTTGTTTTACAAACAAATCGCAATGTGCGTTTCAAAACAACCCATGAAAATGAGTTATTAACTTTCGAAAACAAATAACACAAATAAGAGAGGCGGCAAATTGCGGAAGCTATAAATAATACCGGGATCGTAATCGTTCGCATTCGAGAAAACCTCTCAACTTTTACGATCCATTCGACTATTTCAAAATTTTCATGTCCACTCCTCGCAGCCAACTGGAGCTATGCTCGATTTACAAAGAAAATCTACTGCACACGCACACAATATAAAGTTGCTGAAATATGAACACAAGTATTCCTCCACCCATCGTATTCTCCTATTAACACGCGATTTTATTACGACCCCTCTGACGCATCTGAAACACGTCAAACCAATGATTGGTCCAAGAATAGAACCGCAAACTTTTTCGTTTTTTTTATATAGTAGACCTAAAAATACAAGTTATGTTTTTTTCAAATTAACATCAGTTTTAATTCAATTTGATAAATTCATTTCAAAGCAGTTTTTAATAAGCGGAAATAAGCTGATTTTCATTTTTTTTTTTCGTATCGTAATCAAACGAAAAAAAGTAGTTGACTCTGTTTCACATTCCTCTTCTTCGATTCGAGAGGATGGAAGAGAAAGAGAGAGAGAGAGAGAAAGAATGGAACGGAAATTGCTTGCGCGAATGCTGCATGCAAATCGAGATCGCAGTCACAATTTACGTGCATCGGGCTACGGCTATGAATAGCAATATGATGGGAATACACCTCCTCCATACACTCGCACATGTTCATTGTTGGGTGGATGCGATGGCAATTCGTTTGTTTGTATGCCTACTATGTAACATTTCTTTCGTTTCGTTTTTGTTTCGAATTCCCTCTCGCGTCGCCGAATTGGTATGCGATACGCGCGTGAGACTGATTGATCATCATTACGATTTGCATTATATAAATAGGAAAAAAAAACAATATATATATAAAGAGAGAGAGAGAGAGAGAGAAAAAGGCATTGTCTGCGAGCATCAATTATTTATTTATTTATAAACGGACGAACGAATGCATTTGGGGCCAAACCAAGGCCGTCTCGATGGTCATGCATAATTCAGCGAGCGAAAAAAATCGATGCACCACCTCTCCTCCTCGACGACGCTTTGGCACGTACGGAGGGATTCCAACGAAAGGAAAAACTTATTTACTTCTTTTCTTTTCGCGTACAATTTTTCAATTCCGATTCGATTCGACCTGGAGCCCCGAAAACGACAGGTGCTCAATTCGATCGCAAACAGCTTATGTCACACGACTGACACAAGTTGTACGACGTCGTCGTCAAGGGAAACCTACAATTTTTTTTACTTCCACGCACATGAATTATGCAGATGTCGCATCAATTATGAATCAAATCGGCGATGGATCATTACAGACCCCAATCAATTCTCGCAAACGATTGGGAAATAAGGTCAATCGGATTCCACGTAAAAAAAATAAAACAATGGCAAATCAGAAAAAGTGCAATTGTTAATTGAAGAGCGCCATCTCTGCATATTCATCAGCGAATAATTGACGTTTGATGACAGCGGAATTTAGGTTTCCACGATGAGCGATGCCAACCGTCTAAATCGAATTCCAATGACAGATATAGGGTAGATGGGATATATTTCTGTACATCGTTTTCGCTTTAAATTTAAATGGAAGACGAATAAAAACAAAAAATCAGTTCGATATGACTCACTGATGACACCACCTGCCGCTCCGATAGATTTAACACTTGTTATTGTTGGTCGGACTCTGGTATTTGGAGCATCTCTCATCTCATCTCATCTCATCGTCGTCGTCCTCCCTACCTATTTATACGCATCTTCTCTCTCGCATTATAATAAAGATACGAATTATCTTTGCAAACTTTTTGCCAATCCTTTGCTCCCAAAGCGCACACACAAACACTCCACCCGATACTCACTTTATAGTGGTAAACGTCGGATTGATTGTTGAGATTGATGGGCGGTATTATGTGGACCGCGTCCGAGCAGCAGCAACAGCATTTGCAGCATCCGCAACACATCTTCTTTTCGATTTTCCTCTTCTCAAATATTACGAATGAATGAAACTTTTGCTGTCTCCTCTTTCCTTTTCTTCTTCAATTACGACGACGTTGATGATGATTATCTCATCAAAATCCGTACATGTCACCTTTCAGGATGCTCAGGATGCACTCGTACACTTTATTGTTCAACTTGACGAGCGCTATTTTCAAATTCATTCCATCGACTTCTTGCAACGGACAAACTGAAAATTCCGACGTAAACATCACGATTCAACATTTTTCCTTCTTCAAATTATTCCTCTCTCTATCGGGCTTTAAATTACTTCCAACTCCAAGAGCAACAAATGAATATTCCCAAATTTAGTTGCGATCTAAATTTAGGCATTGTTTGAGCGAGTATATAGTAGTTATGCAATCGTATTTATTAAGGCACATTTCGGGCGTCGTAGTCGTCGCCCACGTACACCGGCGACGCTCACTTTATACATACATACATACGACAAAAGTTGCGTGAGGCGTCGACTATTTACACAGTTTAATAAGCTCTGGCCGAAAGTCAAGAAAGAGTCCAAGAGTATTTTTATATGATCCACTCTATACATATTATTTTTTTTAAAAAAACATTTATTATTTTCGCGCGAGAACGTAAATTTAGAATCGCGAACGGCGAAGAGACAAGCAAGAAAATCCAATTTATTATCAAACAGGTGGCCGTGGTCCGCTATTATTATTAAGTGGTTTAATTTGTAGTCCATCTGTTCGGAAATCCATTTTGTGTACAAAAAAATAGAAAAGAAAACGTAACGTTCGTCATTTGAGAAACAACGGAAACACGAGAAATCTTCCATGAAATCAATGACTTAAGTCGTGTCCTTTGCGTCTAAGTATAGTTTCTTTTTCGGCGATACTTGAACTTTGACTTTGGCAGTGTTTTCACAACAGCACGAACACCATTCAACAATCCAATCAAATTCAATGTCACTAAAGTTTTGACATCGCTTCATCAATCGAAAAGAGAGAGACTTGCACGAAAATTTCAATTTACTTAACAATTTGGGAGTCTCAATTTAAAAATGATAATTTCAAACTAAACGGTTTTACTATATGTTTGAAAGAAGCTTGAATATAATTAGTGTTTAGTATATTTAAAAGACACTAAAGTTTTATTAAGATTTACGCTGAAACTAAAACTGTTAACGACTTCCAATCAATGACTTAAGTATATTTTAGAAGTGACAAATGCCTTACATTTAATTGGTGCGAGATGTGTCTTTTCCTTGAAATCTAAATCGAATTAAATATTCTTGGCTTTATTTGCTTAAGTTACATTTGGATTGGATCCAAATTATGGCCGTTCACGTGTGTAAATACGCGATCAAATTTAAACGAACTTTGCAAAATAATAACGCTATCAATTATCAATTGCTGCACCATACATAATGCTTTTAATATCAAACGAATTACAACTTTGGATAGAATCCAAACTCGCTCTCAACGTTACAATCAACGTGACTTAAGTCCAATTTGAAAATAAGTACATTTTTATTACGCTTGGCTGTGAAAATTTCAGTTTACTTTAATTAACGATGACTCGACATGACCTAATGGGAATCTGAAAAGGGTAAAAACAAAACACTATTTCGGTCAAGTATAAATCATCTTTATGTTTACTAACTGAACTAAATCAAACTAACCCAATCATAACGTCTATTTCCATCGAGTTGCGTTGAGTTGCGCAACGATTTCATTAGAGATGATGGGGCGAAGAGAACTTTTCACAACTAAATCTTTCGCCGCAAGTTTAAAGTGATGATGAGAGAAAAAAAAAGCTTTTAATCCGAACCGGCGGCAATAAGAAAAGAGAAACGTGCTAAATCTGATTCCGCAAACTCGAGAGGATTCAAAAAGGACGAACTTTCATCGAGACTCGTTAAGTTTTCTCGGGCTCGCCTGAATAAAAATTTCATTCATTGCTTTCTGCAAATAACAAAAAAAAAAGAGTTTTAACAATTCGAATGTATGACTCATGCATTTTACACGCATTTTTTTTTAAACAAATATAAATTGATCGTTTAAGACCGAACGTAAAAGTGATTTACGGATGAACGTTAAAAATCGGCGACGTGACGAGGTCAAAAGTGCGATTTCGTGAAACACCAATTCCTTCCTACCCGCATTCTTTTAAGATTCTTTCTAGAATTTTAATTAACTTAAATCATCAAATGTTAACATCGGTGTTAAATTATTATTCAAAGTTTTACTAGAAGCTTCACAATTGATTGTCGATTAAAATTAACGTTAACTCAAATGATAACTTTAGAGAGAGATTACATAATATAAAATTAAGTTTTATTTTGCATATACTGAGCAAGTGATTTAATATCGATGTTAAATTGATGGCAATGATTGCGAGCGATTTCGTAAGATCTACAAAAGTAAGCTTTTTTATAATACAATTAATCTCCTCTTAAAATAATTTACAACCTTGTGATTATGTAATTTAAAAGTACGTTATCTTTTGTATTTGCTCAAATTGATAACGTGAGAAGACCAGCTTTACTTATTATTCATTGATAAACTCCAAAAGTGCGATTACGTAAGTTTGGAAGTAATTTAAAGCCGTTAGCTCTTTTCGCTACATCTTAAGGACAATCACTTTTCTGGTCGTAATCCTGCAGCTGAAAAGAAGAAACGCACTTTGCGCGAAAAGTTCGCACTCGATGCACACGACGCACTGATGAGAAGAAAACTGTAAACGTTTCTTTTCCCTTACAACGACCTTTTCCCTTTTTTCTTTGGTACAATTTACACGTTTCTTTTTTGTATTAATTTCAAAAAAAATATAATCTATTTCACCGTTCGCGGGATTTCGTCGTCGAAGGAAGGCTTCCCGTGTCAGCGGACAGGAATAAACTGGCCGACTCCTTGGCTCGCCAACGCTTTTCAGCCAGCGAATCCCCAAATAACAATATAATAATAATCATCATCATCATCATCAACATGTAACGAGGATGGCCGTGGTAATAACCCAATGCAGAACACATCTTAATCTTCAATTTGTAGCAACAAGTGATGCAATTACAATCAATATCTTCGTCAGCATTATCAAGACTTTAGCGTAGGAACATTCCAAACTCGCTCTAATTGGACAGCAATTACCGTGCTACGACAGCCTTCATTTTACAGCCAACAAATATTAATAACCATAGTCTTCATCAATAACATCCAACGACAATTACCACTACAAAGTGAATCTCCGAAATTCGAGTTAAACTTACATTAAAAATCAAGACAAATTCATCCAATTATTCTCCTAGAAAACTTGTAAAATTTTACAATTTCTTTCATACTTGCATAACATGCGTGAATACAACTGAACCGTTGATGGTATTACATTTCGTTTTCGAATTTATGCGAAGGAATCATATGATGATCGAATACTAAAAATACACTCGCGATTTATGCGTTGCGGATTAGAGGTATATTTTAAGACCGACCATATAGATTTTTTTTTTGTTACATTTTCCACACTTTTTTTTTGTTTTCTTTTTTTCTGTCGCTCCTTCTGTCCTCGAGAAATTTATTGAGGAAAGTTACGCCACCCCCCATTAGCACTGTAAATATTTTGGCAAAATATCACGAAATCGTTTCGCGTCGCGCGGAAGATGAGCGAAAACACATTCTTCGCTGACTTCATTCAATTTCCGAATTAAAAAGAGTCTGTCTAAAAGGTCATGTTACAGTCGCGACGTGTTTACGTAAATTTTGATCACTTTAACTTTGAATTAGTTCAATAAAGCTATCAGAATTTCTACATATTCTCATTCGGTTTTAGTATATAGTAAGGATAATTAGTTTATCCTTGATTCAAGATTTGTATGCAAGTTTAGCAAAAATGTTAGAATCAAGCGAAGCGTGTATATAATTTTGAACATTTCTAGATTGAATATCTCGTGAAAATTTATAAATTTAAGTCGGCTCTGCGTGTGCTGCGGGAACGAACCGACCATTGGCAAACGTCCAAGGAAGTCCCGTGACAGCTCATAATGTCAATGCGATCCTCAGTCTCGACCTTCGCATTGCACCGCGTCTGCCAAACGCACATACAACACACTCCCCGCATTGTAAACGACTCCTTTCCAGCACACAATACACACTATCACCATAGCAACAATACAGTTGTCATGGCGAATAACAGAATTGTATACTAACCTCGAGAAGGGCCTGATCGTCTATCGGCCACAGAAGTCTCTCCGTCGTCGGTCTGCTCGCCAGATAGAAAGCGGAGGCTGCCGCGACGCCGGTCAGGGCCAAAGCCCCGGCGCCTCCACCGATGTAGTGCAGATACTGCTCCATATCCTCCACTGAAACAAACAAAAATTTACAAATATCAGTACCAACTCAAACAAAAAAAAAAGTTATTTACAAACAAACGATAAAAAAAATAACATGAAATCATCAACTTAAATCATTTGCTACTTTTTTATTGCCTCGTAAACGCGTAATCACCGTTTCCTCTGTCCTCGCAAAAGAGAGCATTTATTTTTATCGTCCGAGCATCTTTCACTTGTTTGTGTAAATTTCAGATCTTATCTAGATGGCGCGCAACAAACAAGCGTCATTACGAAACAAAAGTCAAATGAATCAAAGTTTCAATAACCAGGTTGGCATGGTTACAACGCGACTGTCAAAAGTAGTCGAAACGTCAAGTAGATCTAATTAAGATCTACGGTTTCATCGTTACCAATTAACGAATCGTCCAACATGAATAACAAATGTTGATGTTTTGATTACGATCTATTGCATAAACAATATGTTTTTTTCTTCTCTCTATCTCTATTCGTTTTATTTACAGGAAACTCGGGTCCATGAAAATTCCGTTCTCTCGCACGCTACGTTATTATTATTATTATCATCGAGGAACGAAGTTAAAACAAACTTAACGATTTCGTTAAATAAACATATGAAATGCGAAATGATCTAATTGGACGATATCATCAATTAGACGTATTTTCAACAAACATATTTCTTTTACAGAAAAATAATCAATGTTCGCTTCATTCCTGGAAAATATGAAACCACATTTTTCAGTAGAATTTGCTGGAATACGCTGAAAGAGTTTTCATAAGAAATTCGCGGGGGACAAGCAATGCAAGCGACGTTTCGTAAATCGGTGCGAATTTTCCTGGAAAACGCGATGGAATTGAATTTTGTTTTTCCTTCCTCGGAAACGTCTTTACAATATTAAAGAAAATCAAGGCACATTTCAAACGATTTCATCACAATTTGCTGCGCTCGAATATAAAAAAAAAAAATGTATACATTTTGCCGATGTAAAACTTAACGATAATATTTAGATGAGGAGGGTAATCAATAAATCCGTATTATGCTCTGTTTTTATGTAACATTCCGAGAGAAATGGATCGAAGAAGGTTGATGTGTCAAAATTTGACATTTCAATATATTGTAAATGTCATTTGGATCAAGCAATCAGTTACGAATTTGACATATTCAAATGTCGGCTAGCGGTAATTGACGTGCATTCGAATGAGATAATAATCTTTTGTTTTTTGGTTTGGTTCGTATTGCAGCGCAGATCAAGTTATCAGCGGATGGAGTTTGTGAACCGTAGAAACCGTGGAAACCGGAGCGAAAGAGAGCGTACGATGATTGGCCGAGCGAGTGTTCCGTTCTTCATTCAATGGTAATTTCAAAGACAATCGCGATTCATTTACTGCAGAGAGATCGAGGCAGATGCATAAACAGATTATTATTATTCCATCTTTCCTGCTAGAAGCGGAGGTGAGTCCTAGATAATATCCAATCGAAATGCAAAATCGTAATTGGAACGATAACAACAATTGTAAGCAAATCGGATTATTACTTTCATATTTCGAAAGACATCAAAGTACAATTTTACAAATCATCGAATCATTTTACCTGTACGATTTTAGATTAATTGCATGTTTTTCGTTTAAGAATTTAGTTCAAAAACAACATTACAATTATCTTAAATGAATGAAGTTTACTACTATTTTTACATAAAGTTCAATTGATTTTCCAATACGATTCATTCACATTTCTATAAATTAAGTTTACATGTTTTCGCAACAATTTCAATTAATTTTCCAATGCGAATAATTGCAATTTTCTTAATTCAATTAAATTTACAAGTTTGTATCTGTTTTTTACGTCTATTACTACAAACAAATTCCATTAAACAAAACTCGAAAACTACAACAGATAGAATGGATCCAAAAGATGCAATTGAAAATTGGATGTTTGAGGAATGTAAATTAATAAATGCGAATTACACTCAAATGTATGAAATCTTAGTATGATTTCATACATTTGAATAAATGAAAAATTAACGGTCGAAGAACCAGTCTCTTCACATTTTGTTCATTTTCTCGGAAACTACAATAGATAGAATGGATCCAAAAGATGCATGCAAATTAGGTTGAAAATCGAAAACGTAATTTTAAGTGAATTTAATCGATAATTTAAAGAAACTATTTGTTCTATTTTCTTTTACCTGAGAACGACGAGCTCGTCCTATTGTTACTCATAATTGGATGGACCACTGCAAAACACTGTACGTACCGAACTAACCAAGTTCACCAAAAAACGATTGATGATTAACTTATCCGTCTCCGGATGTGCTACACGTACGCAAATGACGTCCGTGTATGTTACGAAAACAAAACGAAATTACAAATAATTTGCATCGAACCATCCGAAAACGAATTATGAATGAAACGAACGGAAGGAAAAGAGAAAGAAGTAAGCGGAGGACGAGCGGCGTTCGATGGCCGAAAAGATTATGCCATACTTACTATAAACGTACAAAATAATACAACGCCTTCTGCTGCACTCTGCTGCATAATCGACGCGACACTCGCTCCATTTCATTTTTATACGATTCCCATTTTGTTTTATTTTGTCTTCGTTTCTCTTTCTATTCGAATCTCTGTTTTTCCCTCTTTCGATTAAATTCTGCATTCATACGCATACGTTAATGTATGCGACAATCACTCCGATTAATTGAACACACGGCGATCGTGATTATCAACATTCTCGAAGCACAACAGAAACAAAAGCAAAAACAATGGAATCATTTGAATTGCATAATTACCATTGTGTGCGATAAAGACAAAGAAGGCGGCAGGGAGTACGAGAAAGAGAGAGAGACGAGGAAACAAAACGCAGCTGAAAATGCTTAATAACTTAATGATAACAAACAAATTCCGTGTTTCGATGGTAACGTAATCATCGTTTATCGCTGCGCGTTACACCATTCAACACATGGCATATATACAGAGTGTTTCTTCAATTTACATTCGCAGCACGTACATTTATCTAGAATATTTAAAACAAATGCATCCAATGTTATCAATTGATAAGTTACATTAATCAATAATGACATTTTCAATTAGTAAGAATTGATTACATGATACATTGACTTAGAATATTAAAAAAAGCATATAAATATAAATTGACGAAACAAAAAAAAAAAACCTGAATAACCATTAAAACTAAAAAGTAGTTAATTAAGTAGTCGTCGCGACTGCAAAATTAAAAAAAAAAGCTAAAATGAGAAGGAGCTAATAAATTCCAAAAACCAATTAGAAAAGAAAAAACAAAGCAGTTCATCGACCGAACATATATCTATAATTGATCTGGAATATCGTTTCGCATTACCATTTTACATCTAACCGAAATCTTGGCATTGAAAAAAAAAACGGAGAGGAGAAGTAAAAGGAACGAACGAACGAACGAAAACAAGACAACAGTTTCAATTGTTATAATATGCAAATCACGACGCGAATCCCACGATCCAAGGTTACGCGTTTACTCGCATTTAAAAATAAAATAAAAAGTTGTTTCTTGAAAACCAAAAGTCTTGCGTAGTTCAAATCGCGGAGGTTACGTCGAACCAATATAAATTTGCATATAAATCTTTGTGAAATGGATAGATTAAGATAAAATAAATTTAAATTTTACCAAAACTTTTGAAAACGCGCACGGCGACATAAACCGCCTACTAATTATTAGTGGATGCGCCGCAACATTTGAATACCGGCAACTGTTATCGCTTATTACCATAGCAATACGGGCATCTGTCAATGTGACGTTTGACATTAGTCGTTTGCCATTTTCCGCGTTTGCATTGCTTTTTTTTTGTTATTGTTGTTATGTTATTTTGTTTCTGTTGCACCTGCAATTGGCGCGCGCGAGCGAACTTTCTCTTCTTCTTCTTCGGTGGGGGATTCCCCCCAAAAACAATATACACACCAAATACATACACAAAGAGAGTAGATGCATGCATTGAATGAATGAAAAACAAATTAATTTAAAAAAAAATAGGAGGCGCACCGCGATGACGTTTGACCGTTGGGTCAGCGACCCAGAGAAGAACTCTTCTGCACAAACACACACACACACTGCAAACTCTAGTTGGTTGGATTAATTTGTTGGATGAAATTACCTCTACTGTTGTTATATTTGGATATTTCGACGAAATTCAATTACGTTCTTTCAGTTTTTTTGCTGCTTCTTTTTCTTCGCGCCAACATCCGGCTCGCGATTACGCACTTTCTTGAAACATAACCTCAACGGATAACTGTTCATCCGACGCGCAGCTAACCGCGAAAGACGAACGAGGATGGAGAAGAAGGAGAGAAAAAAGAAAGAGGAAACAGAAGACGGAGGGAAAAAGCAGGTAGAAAATCACCGAGAAACCTGTTGAGAGGAAAAATATAGAAAACATACTCCAATTATTCTCATCGCATAATAATTAAATTGTTATTGCTTTCACAAATTTAAATAATTTATAGTTTTTACAATTTGAACATCAAATTGTTCGAGAGCGGTAAGAAAACAAAAGCTATAAGTCAGTCAAAGATGATTGGCATATTTTCAAAATGGATGCCGAATTTTATGTACAAACATTTGAATTAATGTTTGCATCAATTTCATAGATGTCGCACTACAAAATTTCAATAATTTAAGGAATACGAACACGTACAATTGCACAGTAGTCAATTATTTTAACTAAATGAAATACAAAACAAAATCAACAATCCATCAAAGATGTTTACATGTTTTAAACCAATTTAAACTTTCTGCATAGACTCAACACAGAGTTTAAAACAAACGCATTACGAAATGCGATAACCGTATTACAAAATATACACACACGTCAAGAGTGAAATGTCTGTTTTTTTTTTTTGGTTTATGTTGGTGCAAATTTTTGCTGAAAATTTACTTGTAATCACGGTAGAGCGAGCGATCGAGATTGGTATTAGGTATTAGGTAGGTGGGAACGGTAACAGTAAGTTTCTGGTCTATAAATTTCGCGTAT